AGAGCTGTAGATAAACCGTATCAAAGTGCAGTAGATGGAGCCGGGTTGGCTAATGATTCGGTTAAGAAAAAACACGCAGTCCACAGGGGATATATATAGACGTCAACTTAATGCTCATGTTACTGATAGCCATGTGTGTTGTGTTTAGTTTGTGAAATGTTTTCAGTCTGTACTGCTGCTTAAAGCAGTTTTTTTTTTTTTTAAAGCAGCTGGTAAATGTATAAGTTATTCGTACCAGCTTTGTGCTATCAATACTAGACACGGACAGTCCCAGAAAAACGTAAAAGCAAGATCACAGCGTGTGAGATAAATGTAAATGCAAAAAGAGACGGAGTCACTAATAAAGAACTAAGGTCAACTGCAGACACGGTACCGGTAAATATAATCACAGAGCATCAAAGAATCAAATGGTTTGTCTTCTGGTCAGATTGTAACAAAATCAGCCAGTAGCTAGAGAGGACTACATAAGCACCGCTAGCTATGAGGCAAGAGGCAGACCAAGAAAGAAATGGATGGAGCGAGTCAAAGAGACACTACAGAAACACAATATGATATTAGCACAATCACACAACAACATCTACACTACACCTGACTGCTCTCTGTGATGCTTGACGGCATCAACAGAAGGACACCAGAAGGAGAACATTGCTGCTATACAGGATTGATTTTGATCCTGCTGAGCTGTATGAATATTGACTGTGTGTGCATCCATACGTCCGTCTGTGTGTGTCTTATCTTCCTTCCAGGCGAAACACCGCAGTAATCAACATGAGAAACTAAATAATCCACCAACTAATCCATCTGTATAATCCACTAACTAATACATCTATATAATCCACCAACCCATCTGTATAATCCACCAACTAATCCATCTTTATAATTCACCAACTAATACATCTGTATAATCCACCAACTAATCCATCTGTATAACCCACTAACTAAACCATCTGTATAATCCACCAACTAATACATCTGCATAATCCACCAACTAATACATCTGCATAATCCACCATCTAATCCATCTGTATAATCCACCAAATAATACATCTGTATAATCCACCAACTAATACATCTGTGTAATCCACTAACTAAAACATCTGTATAATCTACCATCTAATCCATCTGTAGGATCCACCAACCAATATATCTGTATAATCAACCAACTAATCCATCTGTATAATCCATAAACGAACCCATCTGTATAATCCACCAACCAATTCATCTGTATAGTCCACCACTTAATACATCTGTATAATCCACCATCTAATCTGTATTTATACTTTTTTTTGTACCTAGGGATCAGCAACAAACTAATCAACATAAATCACACTGGACCTAGTCCATGTAGTTGCCGAACTCAGTTCACAATGAAGAAGATCGATCTACTTCCTGCTTCTGTCAGACAATAAAAGAATGCGTCAAGAAACCTGCCCACGACGATTCTTGGCATCCATGATCTAATCAGCATCATCAGGCGATATTGTTTCTTCAGACTTGATCCCCCATGGAAGATTCAGGCAAAAGTAGTTCCGCGGAGGGGACCCTCACACCCAGCTCCGAGGGCAGTAACCAGAGACTACCCATCGAGCTCAACAGTCTAGCTCCACCGGGAAGCGGGCGGTCTCCTGGAGAGAGTGAGACCATATCTCATGGCCACGCTTCCTACGGAAGTACGATGACCATTGGTGCAGACACCAGCACGGTGAACTTGTTGAAGATTGACCTGGAGCAGAAGATCAGCAGACATACAGGTGAGTGTCTATATACAGGTGTGACGTGACGGGTGGTTTGTATGTTTATGTTGTTGAGTAGGAATGTTCCTCTCAACACATTCCCTCCACCAGATTAAACGAACTAAAATCTGAGCTATGTTGCTCTCAGACAAAGTCCTGGATCTCCAAGAAAACAGCCATATTGGCTCGTTAAGTAAATTAACATTAGCTGAACTTGGTACCCACAAGAGAAGGCAAGGAATTTTAGATGTCTATCATACTTAATGAATTATTAGACAGGGCAAGTGATTCCTCTGTCATCTACCTTCTCCCGGTGTTATTATGAATAATTAAAGAATTATTCTCATATTAATTGAGCCCCCACCAAATGGTATTCTATCCTAACAGTTTAATTAAACATGTAAGAACAGACATTTGGAATTTAACAAGCTATGTAGTTTAAAACTTGACATACAGCTTTATTTACTACAATGAAATTACCAGTTTGTTGATTTACACAAACAGTGACTGGTTAATGAAAGTGATACGCTTCAGCGAGACAAACAGCTCGGGGTTTAGAGTGGTATGATAATGATGATAAAAGGTTAACATAAAGGGGTTAACTCAACTTATAAGCCTCTGACAGCCGTGAGGAACTGTCAAGCTTGTCCAACTCTTCCTTGCCTGTTGTCTGCCTGTTTCAGCTTATTCTCCACTTCCTCCCCACCTCGTTCTCCACATCGTTCTCCACCTCGTTCTCCACCTCGTTCCCAGCTGGCCGAGTCTAACACAATGTAGTCTACTTCATGGACTGATCGTCACATGGGCGCTGTAATCATGGAAACAAAACACATACGTGTAGTATCTTGACTTACACTAAGAATACATGTATCAATTAATACAACATATAATAATAAGATATAGCCCATCACTCCTCCTCATATTCCACATCCTCTCCAGTCTAGTCTGAAGGTCTTTTGTCTTACATGGACGTCACATATCCTGCCTTCCCTCAAATGCTATGTCATGATAGTTGACTTTCTAAGTCTGTTGTCCGTCTTCACTCAGACTTCGAATTGGCTGACATAGATTTGACATAAACATGTGGCGCAGGTTATGTGCTGAACCCGCAAACAATTTATATGCACGCTGTCCTGAATATTATCTTTCAGTGACCGTGAATACTATACACCCATCATCCTTCTCCTGGGGTTATAAATCCCCTGTTCAGGTGAACACATTAAGTGATCACATGGTGGGCACACAAAACGTAGCAGCATCCCTGCACATATTTGGGCATCATTTCCCACAGTCCAAACTCATATTTTGGCTGATCATGGAAACAATATAATTACATTTCATTATAGCAAATGTCATGGTTCACATCTTATTTTATACACATGAAAACATACACTGAAAAACATGTGACACAAACATACAAGAAATAGGAATAGTTTAGCAGTTCCCTAACTGAGATACTGAATACTCACAAAGAACTATTTCAAGCAGAATGTGCAGACAAATTAGGAAAAGGTAGTATAGACTAAGCTTAACTCCCTAACCTAAGTATACAAGATTAAAATTAATATTTTCTCTTACCTGGGAACTTTTCCATCTATCGCCAAACCAGAGTACGACAGTAAAATATACCTTTACGTCGACCTGTGTTTTGTTTGCCGGCAGGCTGTGATTAATGACGGGAATTCCACAGGCTCGAAGTATAAGTATCAATCTATTGTCCAAATTAAACTCCTCCCTTTACTGAGTTCTGCCCAACCCTCAAGACGATGACTTAAGCCACGCCTCCGGAGTACCCAACAGATCACATTAGCTAACAAGTGGCCTGTCAGTCAATTCTGGACTGACATCCCTAGAGCAAACATTCTTAAGTGCCCCAATCTAGTTTACACCGAATCTAACTGGCCGGTGTGAAAGACGGTCAGTGAAGCCATTGTGTTTCCTACGTGACCAAGATCAAGATAAAACATTCCTAATTGCCAAACACCTGTTCTTCCCAGAATTACGCTGACGTGTTAAACTTTAAACTTCTCGTCGCCTCTATGTCTACAGTCCGCTCAATTCGTGTTAGGTAATCTTTTATGACCTACGGTCCAGCTCAGGTGTGATGCTAAGTTCCCCGTTCGCTGGCCTCTACAGTCGGTGGTCAGGAGATAACATTCTGACACTGGCATGAGAATAGAATTCCTAGCTACAGTGTAAAGTTTTAGGTAATATTACCCAAGGTTGGGTCGCTTAGTCTGGACTAAGGACTGGAAACATTTAAATCAATACGGTTTAAAGTAACATTTGGTTTAAGGGCATAGTCTCTTGTCTCTCAATAACCAGAAGAACTTATTACAAGTACTAACTTCTGGAACCACTGAGGTCGTCTCGTGACAACAGGTGAGTGTCTAGATACAGGTGAGTGTCTAGATACAGGTGAGTGTCTACAGCTTGGTGGTCCCTAATTTCATCCTCGGAGTCTACCATCATACGGTTTTTCCCACACCTCGAAGTGACTACAGTAATCATCAACACTGTTTCTGCTACTGTTCCTTTTGCTTCAATATCACTGTTAGGTGCTAGCTACTTCATATTTAATACTTACTGCTGCTGTTGGCTTTGCCGCCGCTGCTGCTGATACTACTACTACTACTACTACTACTACTACTACTACTACTACTACTACTACTACTACTACTACTACTACTGCTACTACTACTACTACTACTACTACTACTACTACTACTACTATTACTACTACTACTACTACTACTACTACTACTACTACTACTACTACTACTACTACTACTACTATTGATTGTTACTACTACCACTACTACTACTACTATTACTACTACTACTACTACTACTACTACTACTACTACTACTACTACTACTACTACTACTACTACTACTTCTATTACTGCTACTACTACTACTACCACTACTACTAATAGTACTACTACTGCTGCAGCTACTACAACTACTTTTACTACTATTGCTTTATATCCTTATTGTGTCCCCCCCCCCCCCCCTACCCTTCTCTTCCTTAGTCTATTATCTGCCTGTCAACATCAGTGTATTACTACTACCACTGCTTCTGCAACTGCTGCTGCAACACCACTGCTATTGGTGATGTTGTCAGGTAAAGTAAAGAGCCTTTTTTAATTTAAGGATAAGAGCGATGAAAGAATGACAGACAGACAGATAGATATAAGGACAAACAGACAAGCAGAGGGACAGGCAAAGAGACAGACAATGTATATTGTTTGTTGCTTGTTTCAGGAGAAGAAAGAGAGACATGGGATAACCGCGCCCAATTTCTCTTGTCGCTGATTGGCTACGCTGTTGGCCTTGGCAACGTGTGGAGGTTTCCTTACTTGACTCAGAAAAATGGAGGGGGTGAGTTTTTCCTGCTTTCTGGTCTTCGTCATCTTTCATTCCCAAAAACATAAACAAAGTCATTATTGTTATTAATAGTCATCCTTTTCATAGTTTGGAGGGGCAGGGCGCTATGGTTAGTAGTAGCTATTCATTTAATACTAGCCCTAACCCCCCCCCCCCAACCCCCCCCCACCTATGGGAGGGTTTGGGGAATTTCCCTACCAAATCCCGAAGCCGGCGTGATGTGGTGAAATGAAACTTGTCTTGAATTTAATTAACATCATAATAAAATCCACAATTTGAATCGTCATCGTCGTTATCATCACTGTCGTTAGCATTACCATCCAAAATTATCACCACAATGACAGTCATCATCAATTTCATCATCCTCAGCATAGAAACTCATTGGTCAGCAAGCTTTAGGGTCAGTGAGCGTGTCATATCTTCACCAGTATACCATATATAAACTTACTCTTCCATTATTCTCTATCAGTCTAAACACCGAATGGTTGAAGAGGAAATAATAAGCAAGACTACAAGAGTAGCTACATACTTAAGTGGAGGAAAAGCTCAATTAGACTTAATGCCTCTACAGACCAAGAGAACAGAGAGAAGAATGTACACGACTTTAGCGATGTTTCAAGCCATAAACGCTTAACTTTACCCCCGAAACATTAAAACAGTCATGAGCTACCTCAAACGATACACAGTTTTTGAGCACTATAGTAACAATTAATGTATGAACATACTTAACAACTGTCTAGCTTCGAGTAGTTTTACCGCGTCGACTTTGTCACTCTAACCTAGTTACAGTCAGTTAACATTGAAATACTTGAACTAACCTGAATATCGCCTCCCAGAGAGAGTATTTATGGCGAGCTCCAGCAAGGAAAGAGGTCCCAGGGCGGACAGAAAAGGCTCTACAATGACACGCTCAAAACTGCTCTCTATTCTTTTGGCATCAACACAGCGACGTGGGAGGCTGCTGCGCAAGACCGTTCTGGATGTTGTAAGCCCCTCAGGCATGGTGCATCGGCCTGCCAGGCAGTGAAGGTTGCACAGGCAGACAAACGGAGGCAGACTAGAAAGAACCGTACTTCTAATCTCACACTTACTGCGGCTTTCATCTGTTGTCTGCACTGCTCAAGAACTTTCCAGGCTCATACTGGGCTAATCAGCCACCTTCGTACTCATAATCATTGATCATTACTACAGTGGAAGAAAGTAGTCTTTATCACTCGTCATGGACGAACAACACTTCAACCATCTCGAAGAAATATTGTCGACTAATCTCATCATAAAAAGCATCCTGAAAGATGTAAATATCGAGGAAGACATCGAGGAAAACATCGAGGAGAGACATCGAGGAAGACTGGCTAATAAACAGCATTTTCTTTCGGAAGCTGAAATATTTTTGCCATATCAAGCGCCACTGCAGACTAGGAGACAAATCATAGTAGAAGACCCGGTACCAGGAAGGTGGTGCAGAGGCAAACAAACCAACAAGCAACTTTTTGCTTACCCAAATCTTAGACTAACATTTTACCAATAGTCTCTGTATTAACACTAAATTCATCTACCATCATCCTTACAGTCAAACAACGATCTTCTTGTATCTGTCCTCGGAATTTTGCAATGAGTTCTTTATTACGAACAGAAATTGGCCACCCAGGTCTAGTTGCATTAGTAATCATTTCCGTACCATTTTTGAATCGTGAGATCCAGCTGAAAATCTGTGCACGAGATCAACAATTATCCCCATAAACTTCATCAATTTAACTGTCACAATGGCGCTTTTTTGGAGTTTTACATACAGAATTAATGTTAGCCTTTTTGCTCAATGCTGATTACGTAACAATGCACCTATGACTAGGTTAACAAAATGGTGGCTTTTTTGTTGTCTGCTTATTGGGCGGCAATGAAAATTTGCCAGATCATAGACGAAGGTTGCCTCTTTGAATTAAATGCTTTGATTCCTAGATTGCATTTTTGTCTTGGCCATAATAACATCTGTCTCATTACTTAATTGTCAGACCTTGTAGAACGGGAAATAAAGGAATGTAAACTGACATTGGATACCATGGGCAAAAAAGCAGCAATGGTGATCACCTGTTAATGCCGTATGTGTCAACAGCGACATGAAGAGGATATAGATAGATAGAATCAATTCGACAATCAACTTATCGACTAACCAGTCGCTTAGTTGACCAGCAACATCAGCTCCCCCACGAATGAGAAGCTGTGACCCCCAGTAAACTCAGTACATGGAAAAGCCCTCTGCTTAACGACAGTTGTGTCTAAGTTGATAGCACAGCTCATAGATAATTCAGCGGTTTTAAAATCCATCGGGGCCGTGTTTGACAATACACGCCCTTCTCTACGTGTACGGCCTTATTAATCTGGAGCTGGCCGTGGACAATACAAGTGGGTGCATCTGGCGATTGTTGATGGGCTTAGACAAAGAGAGATGGCACCAGTTCTAGAATGGGACACAGAGAGATGAAAGAGAGTGCTAGAAATAGAAGTACGGAGGTGATGACAGTGCTAGACCTAAATGTCGAGAGACGACAAATGTGCTAGAGATGGTGAAAGGTACGACCACCGCCTTCACTAGAGAAGTCTGTCTGAAACGGTCGTGGTACAACAAACTGAACGTTGCGGATGGAAAGCCTTCATCATCATACTATGCAAACGAGAAATTACAATTTAAAAAACAAAAATACAGAAAATCGTCTCAGGTTTATGTTGAGACCTGTCACAAATAACATTGATGCTTGCCTAGCAGAGGCTCTGTGTAATGTATAGTCACAAAAGGAAAATACTTGACAAGAAGTGACACACAGAGATGTAGGGTCGTCAGCTGAGGTCAAAGGTTACGACAAGGGACATAACTCGACACATGTATTTATTGAGAAAGTGTGTCACATATACAAGCTGAAAGACCCAGACTAGAGACCGACTACGTCAGAATCTGAACCTAGGGCTTTCTGATCGAAAGGCGAGCGTCTGACCACTGCACGGTGGCGTCTGACTTGAGTGTACGTGTGCATGCATATGAATGTGTGTAAGCGAACACGTGTACATGCATGTGTATGTGTGTAAGCAAACACGTGTACAGGCATGTGTATGTGTGTAAGCAAACACGTGTACATGCAAATGTATGTGTGTAAGCAAACACGTGTACAGGCATATGTATGTGTGTAAGCAAACACGTGTACAGGCATATAGATGTGTGTAAACAAACACGTGTACATGCATTTGTATGTGTGTAAGCAAACAGGTGTGCATGAATTTCTGCGTGGCAGAAAGTACCTTTCCAAGCCACTTGTTTTTTTGCAATTAACATTTTTAGCCAACATAATTGGCACACAAAACCCAGACTACAATTATAACCGACACTGCTCGCAGTAGGTTTAACGTGGTAGATTTTTTGTTTTGTTTTACATAAATGGATGGGCGGAGAGATACGACCCGCGCAAATAAATCCTCTGCAATTAGTTTCTTTTCAAATGAAGCTAGTTGTTCAAAACAATGTTTTTTCAGTTATAAATTTAAATATGGCGGACACAAACAATACATTGAGCAATTTATTTTCTGTTGCCTATATGTCGATTTGACTCTGTAGAAATTCACCTGGAGAGTTACAGCGGAATATGCCAGGCAATAAATTATGCCATATATCGTTTACGTCTGCATTATTTACATTCTTATTGTAGTGGCGTATAACACATATCGCCATCTAGGGACCCTCAGTTTGACATGCCTGCCATTCGAAATAATATAGGCTAGAACACAGACCTTATCCGTCTCGCCCTTCTCTTGAGCATTTAATGCTTGTATGACAAACATCAGTGGAAGGTCATGCTAAGGTATTTCAACACATTGGTTTTGTCGATGTCTATACCATACATGCTCACCACTGGCATAGGCGTTCTGACAATGTAGGTATTCAAGGAGATTTTTGTCATCGGCAGATGTGCAACAGTGATCTCCTACCCTTGTCAGCGGAGAACATGATGATGATGGCGTCTGTTCTTGGAAAAATAATCAATTAAAATTGGAACTTACGTTGAATGCGGTGAACATCTTCCCTCACATGCTATGACGTAGAGCCGACACTGCAGTTCCTCTCCATGTCTTGTACAAGACGTTATTGATCCTATAGCCAGCACTCAACCTGCGCACAAATCAAGCCGTTTGCCGTAACTAGGATTAAATGGAACAACCAAAGCGGACGAGCAAACCAACCGGAAGTTGCTTCATTTGCCGTCTATTCAGGAAGAATGTAATAAATTTCATTGTTTGCCTCGCGGAATCCAACATTTGCCTGCAGGCTTGTTGTTGTAGCCGCCATAAATTCGGATCGCTTGCTTCACAAACCTTCCGTGCCTGGCTCTCTCCATCTCTGCCGTGACAGCGTCAATACCTACCTGTGTCGTTAGCAGGTAAAACATTAAAGGGGAGCAAATAGGCTTGTTTGACATAATCACTACAGCGACGTTCCTCCATTTACCCAAAAGTGTTAACTCGGGTACCCATTACCTAAAAGCTGGTTGAACTCCAAGAACCGCTAATCCCATTAGTTAAAAGCTTCCTTGCAAACATTCCCTTTTCGCGATATATTTGCTTTTACTGTTTTGCTTAGTAAATATTGCTTAAAACGGAGGAGGCTGCCTATCGAGGCATGGTGTCTGCCTCGAGTGATAGAGGTAGTTCAATCCCTGGTAAGAGCTGGGATTTTTTTCACTTGGTCTTGGACTTCTAATAATTCCCCCGGGTCTCTGGGTAGTGAGATTAGACGCCCGTGTGTATTGTAACGCACGTAAAAAATCCCTAGGCAGCTGGAAATCGAAAAGAGTAGCCTGACGGCGCTGCTCGGGCAAAATTTTGAGTTAAAAATTTACCCAAAGTATTTCAGGGTCCTCGCCGGTGCTTCAGAGCCTGTACACTGTGCTCAGGTTCTTCAGGATCAGACTTGAGTTAGAACAAGAATGGATCACTTTTGGGTTACTACCAGT